GCACCAGCAGGGAGCCACAAGTCCACTGTTAATAATGTGCCCGGGTGTGAACCCGGTGTTCTATCAAAGTTTGTGACTAGGTTGGAATGTGTGACCGGTCACATGGTCACACATTTTAACGTAATCCCACCCAGTTTTTTTTGGCGATGAAATCTGTAACCGGCAATAGGTCTCACATTCTACAAAGTTGGATAGAAGTGAGCTGTCCCAGGGCAGATCGGTTCTCCTGCATATACCATTTGCGCTGCCGATCTGCCCTGGAAGAGCTTACAAAGCGTTGTAATGCTTGACCTAATGGGTGGTCACACATTCCACCGCCAAAAAACTGGGCGGGATTATGTTAAAATGTGTGACCACGTGACCGGTCACACATTCTAACGTATTCACAAATGTTGGTAGAACACTGGACTGTCCAGGTGAATCCTGGATGGTGGCAACCCTAGAGACTTTGCATGTCTCTGCGGCAAAAAAATACATCCCTCTGCCCGCCCCCGCAATTTTTTATTTTACTAACTGTATTTATTAACTGTTTCCACCAGCCACACATCTACCACAATGTCCCATTCCTGGAACACAAGGAGGGGAATTTATCAAAACTGGAGCAGACACAATGTGGAGCAGTTGCCCATGGCAACCAATCAGCATCTCTCTTCAGTTTGCTCAGTTGAGATTTGAAAATGAGAGAGAGAAGCTGATTAATTGCCATGAGCAAGTGCTCCAGATTTTGTCTGCTCCAGTTTTGATAGATTCCCACCAAGGGATCGCATATATATTGTTTCCTTGCGTTCTGGGTAGGAGGGGGCGTGGCAGTGCCATTCAAGTCAATGGCACTGCAGACATGCCCCCCCACCCCCGCCCACAGTACGATCGGCCGCACAGGAACGTGCGGTAATAAAACGCCCTGCGTTCCAGTGCGGTGGGATCGCAAAAAATAGTGCAAGCACGTTTTTTTGCAATCCCACCGCATTGGAATGCAGGGCCTTTTTTTTACCGCACGTAACTGTGCGGCTGATGCAGTCAAAACATGCAGTCAAGACCACATACAGTCCTAGCAAATAGGGACAGAGCACAGCCAAAACACACAGAGAATAAATATAGCACCCAGCAACAGAGTCCATGCAGATACAGACAGGGCACACACATGCAAACCACATACAATAACAGTACACATGGAGCAAAGCACCAACATAACAACTCCATCAGAGCACACACACAACATGCAAGGACAGATCACACACACAGCAAACAAAAGACACAACACATACAGTAGGCAAGTCAGGCCACACATAGATCACACAGAAACAGGCACAATCAGACTAGCAGTTAGAGGACACACAAAAACAGATGTCTTCTGCATGTGAGAAACCAATCCTGACTTGCTGTGTAAGGACTTGTTTGGTGCTGCCCTGGAATGTAAGAGCAAGGTAACCTCAGCTGTGTTCCCCAAGATGCATTAGGATACTTCTTGATGGAGAATGAAAGCAATTTCTGTAATAAATAGGACAATGTATATGGTACATTCAGAGTGTGAGTGCACACATAGTGTAATGTCCCCAGTAATGAGCTCTGGAGTAATATATAAGACCACGTTGAATGAGTACAATGTGACCATGAAAGTTAGAACCTATTTTCTTGTCTTACCAATAGAGGTGTGTGAATCGCTATTTGGACTTTCATCTACTATTAGACAAAGTGTATTCCAAGGAAAGACTGAGGTCAGGACTGGAGGCAGACAGCATTTGGGGGACAAGCTGAGGCCAGGACTAGAGGCACACAGACAGTATTCCAGGGACATGATACTGAGGCAGGAGCAGGATGCAAGATACTATGACAGGTACGGGATATACAGTACAAGACAAAATATTTAGAGACTTAAATAAAGCATCACTAACCAGTCCGAAAGCTTTGAGATGTGTTGCCTGGCTCATTAGTCCATAGCTGATGAAGTAGTCAGGGAAAGTTGCTGAGTGTATGTGGCCAGGCCCATTAGCCCACAACTGCCAAAGAGGTCTGGGAAAGGTGCAGTGGCAGCAAGCAACCTCAAGGAGGATCTGGGAGGCTGCAACATGTATAAGAGCATTATACATGCTCCTAACAATATGATTTTGTAAAACATGTTTTGTCCCCTTTTCCATGATTTCAGACAGTCTGGGCATGCATGTTAGATGAAGCAGACCCCTATCATAATATTGTGTAGCAGTTTAACACCTGCCGTTTCGCTCATTGTCTCTGTGTACCTATCCACTTAAGTCTCATATTCCAGTAATACACAATTAAGTTGTTTATAATCCCTGTTGTATTGTAATAAGCAGTGTGAAACCACCTTTGTAAAGCTGCACCTGAGACTCCATTTGAGCATCTGGCCTTCCATTCCAGTTATAGTTTCTGTGTAGCGCAGCCTTTATGTATTTTAGGCCAGTAGCACAAACAACATGGTTGAACATGTGAGTCTCCTCTGCCATACAGGGCAATACACAATTTGTATCTCTATTTACCAAATCTGAACATTACAGCATGCAAAGACACCTAGTGCAGTTAACAAAAAGAACAGATGAAACACCTATAGGTGTGAATGTGTAATGTTTCCCTAATTTTGCTATTGCACATAAACCAACCCCTCTAGGGCGTTGCAACAACAACATTAGTCATACCTCTTACCGGTAAGCAATGTTTGCTCAGTTGGAAGATGAGAATTAACTGTATAGTCATTGTTAGTTGTTGACCATGTGTTATGTGTAATGCTATGTAAAGGCAGTGACTAATGGGCAATAGCAAATTGTTGATAACATACAGAGCTAAATAAAGACACAGAGTTAAAACCAAATGCTGGAAATTGAAACCTCATTTAAAAGTGAAGTAAATCCACTACAGACTGGCTTCAGAAAAAGAAGAGTCAAGAGAGTCGTTCACATCAGACATCCCACAAATGTGTGTGAGCTGCAGGAAATTTGTAAAGAAGAATGGTCAAAAATGTCCTCCTGAACGTTGTGCAGGTCTGATCCAGAGCTGCCGAAACACTTGCTTGAAGTCATTGCTGCCAGAGGAGGTTCGACCAGCTATTAAAGATAGTCCTGGAGCAAAAGAAAAGAAAAATAGGCGGAAGGACTACATGACAGGGTGGATAGGGAACTCGGAAGTACCGGGTTAAGTTAGTGTTAAGGGGGGATGGTCACTTACCTGATTGGCCGGTTTCAAGAGTTGCAGGAGGGCCTCCTTAGTGGTCTGGAGGGGGGTGGAGTAGTACTGGTTCAGTCTGGATGGGTGTGGAGGGGCGTACAAGTGTGAGGTGTTCCCACTTGTCGCTGTGGCGGATTCTTCAGTAAAGAGGTCTAAGTCTTAGTTCTACAAGGTCTCTGCAGTTTCTCATATTTGTCCCTGAGTCGGTGTGTTGCGGCTAGGGACCAGAGTTTAAGTGGTTTGCAGAGACCAACAATCTCAGTAAAAAGGTGCCTTCACAGACCTCAGATATAGTTAGAGATATATATATTTATATTGTTTGTTATAAGTAAACGTGTTATTTATACACACCCTGTTTCACTTGAAATTTGTAATAAAAGGCTGCTACAGCCATTTTAACTCCAATCTCGAGTGTGGTGTCTTAATTGGGAGGTGGGGATTATTGGAGGGTGGTGGCATAGTAGCATGGGAGTTTGGGTGTAAAATTGTTATGGGACTATGTTCTACCTTGTCAAGTGATATTAAAGTGAAAAGGATTTTAAACTATTTCTAATGCTGATGAAATCACTGCCAATGATTGCTGCTTCTTGATGTTTTAAATTTTAGCTCCCTGCAGAATCACCTGGCTCCCTGAGCACTGGTCCTGATTTTCTGTTTTAGACTGCCTCCTTTCTCAATCAAGAGTGCTACGCAGACACCCTTCTGTGTGGGCTAGTAAGCTGTGTGTGTGTCCACAGACACAGCAAATCAAGCTACCGTGTTTCCCCAAAAATAAGACACTGTCTTATATTTTTTTTGCCCCCAAAAACCACACTAGGTCTTATTTTCAGAGGATGTCTTTTTTTTTTTAATGTGCAACAAAATGTACAACAATCTAAAGTTATTCATGTACAACAATCCAAAGTTATCTGGTATCACTCCGCCTGTCACAGTAACTGGGGCTATAGAGGAATATCGGCTAATGTGGCTCTGCTCCCTCCGCAGCCGCAGCCTTGGTTTCAACAGCGCCGGCTTCCTTTGCCACCAGGGACAGTGGTACCAGCGTTGCAGCAGTGGGGACATCAGACAGTGGACAGCGCGGTAAAGTACGGTACCATTTACCGGTACACATTACAGTCAAGTACCATTTACATTAAGCAGTGCCTTCAGGGTGACAGCAGTTGGTGAAGTATGGTACTGGAGTGCTCCCTGTCACTGCGCTGTCTAGAGGGAGTCTCCTGTCATCCCCTTAATACAGTATGTCGCCGCAGGCTGATACCATGTCTCCTGCAAGTTCCCCCTCATATGCTACCACCAAACTAGGTCTTATTTTCGGGGTAGGTCTTATATTACAGGAATCTTGAAAAATAGTGCTAGGTCTTACTTTCGGGGTAGGTCTTATTTTCGGGGAAACAGGGTACTCCCCTCCCCCCTGGCCCCATCTCCTCCTTTGAGAGAGCTGCACTCTGTGGCTGGGAACTAGAGGCTGAGAACAGGGGAGTTTTGTATTTGGTATTTACATATATTGGAGCTCATTGAGGAATGCTTGCTAGCAGTAAAGTAAGTTTTAAAATGCAGAGCATGTAGTACTACTTTAAGAGTCTTTGTTGCGATCTTGGAAGTTCTTTAAGTAATAATAACTTTACATTAAAATCAGCTAGAGGGGTCAGTGATGACTTGTTTTTAAGCTCTTTTACTGCTCGTTAAGAATATGTAAATAGTTCAATGTCCATGGCCTAGGCACATGTGCACTTTAACACATGGTGGCTGTTTTGTTGGTAGGCTCGTGGAACTGGTTGGTATATACTGTAAAATAATGGATATCTTTCTGTTGCTCCTTACAGAATTTGACTTTGAATTACAAAAACTGAAGGTGTTTTCCAAGGAATGTAAAGAAATAAGGGAATCACAAAATGGTGACGTATGCACTGTAGCAGAAACCACTGAGCAGGTGCTGGAAGAATTGAAAGAAAGCTACACCAAGTTTGCTGTGCTATCACAGAATGGTAGGCTTTTTCATAATATATGTATATATAATTAGAACCATTTCTGGGGCTTAGATGTTTAATTTGAATGTATTTTGGGGCCAAAACACACTCTCCCCTGCAGTGTGGTTCATTAAAATGTGCATTTAATTGGCACTGAAGCACTGACCTGTTTCTATGGAGAACATAAACGTGGTAACCTGCCAGCCATAAATATCAATGATATTTAACGATCCCCCGGTCGGCCACGCTACAGAGCCGCTGTCATCCAAAAACTGACAGGATGACAGCGGCTCCGATCACTATGCCGCTTGGCCATCCTGAATTGCGGCCAGCCGCCGCTCGCTTCCCCGTCCCCCCCGACCCTCCCGCCGGTGATTTTGTTACAGATCCCCGCTGCCACAGACCCTACAAGCAGCGGGGATCCATGGAGTCTCTCATCTCTCCCTGAGGTGTCTCCAGGGAGGGATGAGAGACTCCAGATGCCGGCGGCCGGCAGCAGCCTCTAGATAGGCAGAGCCAGCTGTCACTCATGCAGCTGAGCGGATCCCGTCATCTACGTCGGGATCCGCTCCGGCTGCGGCGTCTCAGTATACCGCGAGCTGTAGCTCGCGGTATACTGAGCCTAGGGTGACGGGACGGGAGCCTAGGGTGACGGGAGGATGCTAGTTTGTGACCCCATAGTTCTCCTTTAACGTGAACGTGTAAAAGCACTTTAAAACATGCCCTTATTCACATCTGTAGCTTTAGGCATTGTGCAGAAATTCATCTTCAAAGTTCACAACAGATGCACTAAATTGTGAGATCTTTTCCTATTACTCTTTTGCAACAGAATCTTTTCAGTCTGCCAGTTATCTAATGTAAAAGCACATCTGGTGTTTCTAAGCTGCTAGAAACCAACCGATAAGACTTTAGAGTCTTTGTTGTGATTCTGGAGGATATGTGAGAATGACTTACTTCACAGTACATGCAACTAGAGTGATCAAGGGATGGTTAACTCTAAAGCTAAACTCCATCTTTAAATATTCATATGTACTTACTTGGGTCCAGCTTGGCTCAGTGGAAGTATATATAAATAATCCGTGGCAAGACCACAGCTATTGCAGTGTATTAAAACACCTTCCAGTTTCCCCTGTGCTGTTAAAGGTGAAATATTGGGAGAGTAAAACACACTCTTCCCAACACTTAATGCCAGTAGAGGCAACAGCAGCTGTCCCACACCACTTCTATACTGAGTGCTGAGCAACCATGTGACTGCTAATTGCTCAGCTCATGGTCTCCTCCCTGCAGACAGCAGTGACCGTCAGTCATTGCTCCCTGCAGGTATTCCTTCCTCCCATCTCTGTTCCTCCAATGCTCACTCGGGGGACAGATGGTGAAGGGGTGGACACAGCTGGCTTTGGCTCTAGAGAGGAAGAGCCAGCTGTCAGTTTGGTAGAGAAGAATGTCACCAGCACACCAAAATCCTTTTAGGATAATCAATTGTTAATTTGATTGAACAGATTGTCAGTTGAAAAACAAGCGCTTTCGGGACCTCGCAGGGTCCCATCATCAGGCTCAACATCCACATAGGTTTTTCAACTGACAATCTGTTTAATAAAATTAACAATTGATTATCCTAAAATGATTTTCTTCTCTACCAAACTTATGTGATAGCGGTGCCATCCGCAGTCATTTCAACACCCATCCTTATAATTGGGATTTCGGGTAAGGAGTGCAACAAGTTCTTCTCTACAACCAGAGCCAGCTGTCAATCAGGCAGCTGGGTGGATCTCGACAATATTGTTGGGATCCTTCCTGGCTGAAGCCAGGCAGACAGGCTCTGCGCTGTCAGCATATATCAGGTAGTAGCCCACTATATGCTGACTTTGAGTCACAGGAGTACATTAATAAATGTACTCCTGTGACCCAAAAGAGAAGTAAAACCAAAAAAGGTTTGGCTTACATTTCCTTTAAAACACAGCTGTTGCTCACTCAGGCCATTCAGAGGACTGTATTTTAGAGGAATATATTTATTGAGGAAAATATTAGGCATTCTCTGAATGGCTGCTGTGCAGTGCAAGCAACTTGCTGTATTTTCACATCACATAGGAAGCCGCTCAGCATGATGGCTGTAGCAGGGATTTGGAAGGTGCTATAATACACTTTAGTAGCTGCAGCTACTATTACATGCTCCCCATGGCTGAACCAATGTAAGTATATATAAACTATAAAGATGGAGTTCAGGTTTAAAGCTCTTTTACTGCTTTTTAAGAAAATGTCAATATTTTAATGCCCATAGTCTGGGCAGAGATGCACTTTATAGATCTGAACTCTAACTGAATGACATTTAGTTTGATAGAGGATCACATTTTTCTTTTTGGCAATGTACAGTAAAGAGCAACAAAAGCATAATGCAGAAGTGTTTGTGTTTTAAGCTGGATTTATTTTTTTACTTAATTTTTGGGAATTTCTCCACAAGTGTCATGCTAGAGGCAAAAGGCAGCATTCTTCTGACACAGAGCCTGAGAATGTTCTTTAGGCTTTTTTTCCTCCTCACCAAGCACACCAAGCAAAGGAATGTGATGAAGCCCACCTCTAAACAACATGTCATCCTAAATAGGGCTGCAACTAATTATTTTCATAATCGATTAGTTGGCCTATTACTATTGGCTTATTCATTTTTGATTAATCAGATAAAAAAGAAAATACAATCCTTGATTTTAAATAAAATACACAAATGGGGTGTTACACACATAAAGTGTACTTCAAAATAAAACTGCACACTCAATTTTTTGCATTTGCACCACACTGGAAGGCACAGCATTGCGATACCTTTTCTGCAGCCCCAGCACTCACTGAAAAGGAAGAACTCAGTACAGAGGCTTCCTGTTCATCTCCAGTTTCTCCTCCCCGCACCGCCCTGACTCGGTCCTATCACCGCTCTCTCCTTCCCGCTGCACGCAGGATGGTGGATCAGCTCCATGTCCCTCCAATCCCTGCTGCCTCTGCCAATACACGTGGGGGAGAGCACCTCAGATTGGAGGGGACACTGACTGCAGCATGCAGTGGGCTCCCAGCATAGAGGAGAGTGCTGTGGAGTGATGGGAGCAGAGCCGATGTAGTGGCAGGGGGGAGGTTTGGGGGAGCTCTCCTTTGGGCACCTGCTGCAGGGGTCTGTGTCCGCTCTGATCCACGCTGGGGGCAACAGGGTTTGGAGGGGACAAAGAGCCGATGAAACATCGGCTTCCAGTGCGGATGAGAGAACTAGGGGATTCAGTTCGATTATTATCGATTTAGTTGGCTTCAGCCCTAATCCTAAACCATTTGCCTTGCAAAAAGAAAAGATGCAGATAACAAACCTGGATTTTTTACACTGTCTATCCTGTTATTTTAGGGAAAGGAAAAAGTTTCATCCTTAACCTTCTGTTGCTCATGACAGCTGACAGTCAAGAAGAATATTTGAGGAACAACAGAGATATGCTCCTACCACAGGTTTGTAGTATGAAAGCTGGCAGTTATTAAATATGTGTAGTTTTCCTAAAATGATTTAGTAAAATAACTTTACTCATAATAAGAAAAATACTTCCACTTTGTTGATTTAATGGCTGTCAAGTCATTTTCTACTGCTGTAGATACATGCTGAGAATTTCAGTAGCTTACCTTCCTCCCATGCTGGATTTCCAAGCTAGGGTTTTTGGTAGATTTTCATTATATTGTGACCACGCAAAGTATTATGGGGGCTCCCCTATTCCACACTCACCTGAAAGCTTCCCTAACTTTATTACAACTGCATCCAGCAGTTCCTCATCAGCTTTACACCTCTCAGCTATACTGACTACAAAGAGCGGACACAACCTCACCCAGCCTCACTCCTGGATATAGAGTATGTGGTGCTAGTGAAGTCTGCTGGAGAGGCTATGTGATCCAGGAGAAGTTTCCTGGGTGAGTCAAATGCTGGCAGTGGGTGAGGTACCCTCTGGGGCAGATGTGAGGTGCTCAGTCTAATGGCAGGTTAGGTGTTCACTAAACTGTGTGCATTGGTGTTTTATAAACAGCCTACACCAACTTCTACTCCCAGTAGGGAGATCATGATTGCTAGAATATGAGAAAGACATAACATACGGCTTGCAAAGCACATCACAGTGAAAAATGGACATGACTACATTGCCCTGAATATTGGTGTTAGCTTAAATGGATGTGGTTAAATAGTCTGAGCCTGTTCATAGTATAGACTGCAGATAGTTGCTACAGCCACAAAATATTTTGTAATTAATGTGCTTGAGAGGTTGGATGTCCAAGGAGGGTGCGCAAGAGTTTAACAGGCACAAATAAGCCTCTGGACAAAACATATAAAAAAAAAAACACTATGAGGGCTTAAAGAAGAATTTCATTAAAATGCTTGGGGGCTACGTAGCAACTAGCAACTTTTTAGACAATAAACATTTTGGACCATATAACATATGGCATACCATATAAACTGCAGGAGTAAGCCCTCCTTCCAGAAATTCACCCTCTAGTCCTCATATCAGCCTTTCCCTTTTAAAAGTTACCCCTTCTAGAGTTCTGGAGGTAAGCATAGAAGGAGGTAATGAGGTAGCTAGAGAGCAGAAGGTCTTGGGAGGAGCAAAGAGGGAGAATGGTTGGTGGCATCCTTAGTTAAGAAGGGGTGTGTTTTCTATATGTTTTGGAGGTGAAAGGAGGAAGATTTGGGTACTGTTTTGATGTGGGGCTGAAATTATATGTCAGAGTCCAGGATTAAATTAGTGATGCAAGAGTAGAGTTGCTCAGTGATTTACCGCAAGTGAAGATTATATGACATTATTATGAAGCCTGGCCTGGACTGTCATTCTTCCTATTGGGGGGGAGGATTTCTCTTGATCAAGAACTCCTGGTCACGTAAGTAAAGGGGCAGGGATAGTAGTGACATCATTGCCCAAATATGTCCACATGACTGTATTTAGTCCATGATGTCACCACTATCCCTGCCTCTTTCCTTATATTACAGATGACAGCTCGTTGGTACATGCCCTCCAGGGTACTGGCCAGTTCCCCAAGCACTTTGTAAATCACTTGCCTATTAGCCTAGATTTGGCTCCTTTTGACTTCAGTGGGGTTCAGATTCTGCACTAGAACTTTTATTTTGCCAAACCCTCCCCAAACCGAAGCTTATCATTATCAAAAAACAGAAAGGGGTGTTAGAGAAGTTGCAAGGATTGCATAGGTGGGAAAGCAGTAGGTCAAGAGTATTGACGTCAGAATAAGAAAGTTTATCCATTGTGTTAGGTGAAAAGAGGAGGTTAGTTTAAATAGTTGAGAGGTGTAACAGAAGTAGAAGGAATAACACAAAGAAGATCTACAGCAGTGTTTCAATAACCAATCTTTCCTTGTCCAGTTACTGAAACACTGCTACAGATCTCGTTTATGTTATTCCCAATGAGCCAGAGAGAAGAAGAGAGAGACAGCAGCATGGAGTGGAGGGAGGGGGAACGGAAGATGGAGCTGTACTGTCTGTGTTATTACCTATGTATATGTGCCAAGACAGCAGCATGGAGGGTAGTCGGGGATGGAGCTACAGGGGTGACTCGACATATATAATCTTTGAGAAGAGACAATATCCCAGAAGTCGGTGATAGCAGAGGCACCCAGAAACAAGACCATAAGCATCTAGATGGTTCTTCAAATAGTAAGTATTTATTGGATGATCAATCGATATATGTTGATTTATTATATTTATAATTGAAATGCCTACTAATTGGAGAACCACCATGACTACCTAGATGCTCATGTTCTTGTTTCTGGGCACCTCTGCTATTGCTGACTTTTGGGGTATTTTTCTCCTGCCTGCCACAACAAATATTACAGGACTCCCTACCCATCAAGCCAGGAACCTGTCAAACACCCCGACAAGCATTGATCGTAACCACACCTGAAATCTGACAACTAAAAAGACATCCTGTGTGCGGGGACAGGTATATTCTCTGCATGCCTTCTTTGCCTGGTTGCCTGATATCCCTAATGGGATGTCCAGCAACCACACCTTTGTGAGTATTTTTTTTTCCTACTATCTCCTACCAAAATGGAATTTCACCATACCATATAAACTATTACACTAAATAAGTTCTCTCCTGGGACTTCTGGCCCTACTTTTCTTCCCCTTTTTCTGGAGTTTATTCCTTTTCCAATCTTTGATGGGATATGCCCTGAGCTGCTGTGCCTGGGCAGGTATTCATGAACACGCAGCACATCCTACAGGCCGTTGTCGCTCAATGGGAGAAAAGAAGAGTGGGGAGGATCCCAACAATATTGTCAGGATCACTTCTCAGCACAGAACTAAGCCCCACCCACAGAATATTACATTGAATTGCAAGCTTATGGTGGATTTTTGATAACAGGAGTACATTGCAAAATGTACTTCTGTATTATTAGGAAACTAAAAATGCAAAAAAGGTGTACCCAATATTTCACTTTAAAGTTAGAAGTGCGGCTGTGCGATAGCACAGGCTTCATGTTGATCTCAGGAAACACTCCAGTTTCCTCATGTTTGTCTCATCAGACTCTAGTTTCCTGATTAACAGCTGTCACGTACCTTGGTGTGAGCCTGAAGTGACGAGGAAGGCCTTCCCTTGCAGCTCTCGTCTGAGCCCCACTGGAGATGAAACAGTAGTTGTGCAGACAGAGAGGGGCACGAGTGCCTGTGCCTAAGGCAGATCAGAAGACACTGGTGTGAGGAGCTGAAGCATGGTCAGGAACAAGCCAGATCGGTTATGTGCTGTCAGCGTGGTACAAAAGCAGGAGACAGAAGCGAAGTCAGGACCAGGCCGGGTCATACACTTGCGAGCAGAATGCTACCAGATCAGGAGGCAGAAGATTGGTCAGGGACGAGCCGAGGTCACAAGGCAGGCAGCAAGCAGACAGAGTCAGGAATCAAGCTGGGTCAAATAGATATCAGGAACAGAATCACAGATGCAGAGTACAGCTGAAGATCTCTCAGCAAGCTGCAGATGCAGGAGCCATCTTTAAATAGCCCGCCTGGTGCCAAAGACAGGCGTGTGCACGCTACTTGCGTGTGCAGGTTGTTGCGTGTGCACATGGTTTTTACGCATGCGCATTACTAGCACCGCAGCGCCGAATACGCGCGTGCGCATAGTTTCGTGCAGCGATCCGGGCAGAAGCTGTACTATGGGTGCTGACTGATGTACCCCAACAACAGCTTTATGAATCTATCTTTTCAGCTGTCACCAACAATAAAAAAAGATGCTAATAAGAACTATGTGCATTTGGTGTGCATGGTGTAAGGTACAAGAAAATAAGTTTGAATGAGGTGCACAGATAACGTGTACATGAATAACTCCAGATTTCTGGAGTAAATGTGATTGTAAACTTTCAGAAATGGAAAACTGTTTAAGTCCTACAGAAGTAACTATAAAATCACTAGTCAGAGATGATGTCTTCCTTCGTCCTTGTGAGATTTAAGAATAGACTTGCAATTCAGCAACCATTAAGAAATAATTATCTTAAAAATGTTTCAAAAGCAAAACAATTCAGCTTCTCTCCTAGAAAACAGATGGTTAGAAACATCAATAAAAAACATGTCCACAGCAAGTAGTTATAAACATTTATTTTTTAAGTACACTTTTCTAATATCAAAGCATATTAATGAGCTCATATCAATGTAATAGCATTTTTCACTTAAACTAAACATTATTTAGGTTTTCCTAAAGGGCGTCCAAAAAGACTTAAAATAAGACTCAAAATAACTGTGATCACATTATTCATCATTCATAATAATAACAACACCACATTAATTAAACAATTTTCTCTCTAAGAGAACAGGTGTCCATAACTTTTAAAAATGTACAGATCAGGACGTTACTTCGCAATTACCTTTCCCTGCACACTCACAATTTTGGAAGAAGGGAGGGGAAGTGGCTGCAGCTGTGACAGTATGAGACAAACTCCAACTCAAGCAAACAACATCATGTAGTTTTTGTAACTCCTACTACATTATTTGCCACATTTCCCATTGTTTCTGCTTTTGCCAGCAACCTGACGATAGGTGGGACCCAAGAGATGCTGGACCACGAGCTCTTCTACACCATTGGGCTGCGTACCAACAGCCTCAGCAGTAAAATCAATAACTTAACTGTTCTAGCTGACTGGGGCGTCCCCTCCCAGAGTCGCAATTGGCTAAGTTCTTTACTAACTACCTACCCCAAAGAACATACAGCAGACACTGCGCTTTTTACCCACTCAAGAGCTCATCACAGTATGTACAGTCGCTTCTTGACCTTGTAGAGCTCATCATGGCATGTACAGTCACTTCAGCGAGCAAGCACTCTTTTCTTGCTTTTTAACAGCTCAAAACGGCATATATCACCTTAACCACTTAGACATGCCTTCCAGAACATGGTACCTCAAAGCAAACCCATTTATAAATATACTGTTGTCTGTCAGGGCAAGAACAGAAAGCATATTGCAAAAATTAGCTCTTG